AATTACCAGTTCAGGAGGAATGTCATGTTGTGTGATGGCTCTTTTGATATATATGAGATAAGTAAGCTTGCATTCTTCAAAAATCCCATGTGGTACTGGCGGGCGGGTAGTGGTACCTGTTCAGCATGGGAAATTGCACCGCCTATAAATAGATCTAGCCCAGGGTGCTGTAGCCTCAAATTCTGACAAATTTGCAGATGGATTACTATTAACCAGTGCCAAAGCAGTAGCTTTTACAAAACAGAAATTAACCACACCAGCTTGGCTTCTTATACTTTGAAGGAGGGAAATTAATTTGTCATCCAGTTCACGAAGTGCTGATGGCCAGCCACGTGTGTTGTGTGGTATGGAGAGAACTTTGGCTGCTTCATTTCCTCTCTTTTTTCCTCTTTTAGATTCTTCTGGTAGGCCTGCTTGAAGGTCCAGACTGTGCTCTCTTTCAAATTGGGGATTTCTGTTTGATTGCCTTGGAATTGCCATTTCACTTGCATACTTGCTAATTTTGGCACAAATTTCTGGCAAGTAGTGGTTGTAATTTCCTCCCTTCTTTGCTCTGGAATAATTTTCTGTGTCAGGGTTTACTTTATCTTCTATAGTCAACACCACAGCTTTAAACTCGACAGAGCCCTGGGAAGTGTTTTCTTGGTTTGGTAAACATGTAGCAACTTCTGAGTATTCGGCATCAGGCAAACTATTGGTGTTTGAATTGTTTTAAAACCATAGTGAAACAAGGACATCTTGCCTGAACAGCGTGGTGAAAAAATTACAATAGACCTCTTTAAGATCTTTACAGCGCACGTGATAGGGGATCAATGAGACAACTTTAATCTCACCCTTCAAAATGCCACACACTAATTATTGGTCAAAAGTTTTAGAAAATGTGTTCACATGTTTAATAAATGTAACATTTGACACCCAAGTTGCACAATGCTGTTACGAGTTCAATTAAAGAGGATCAGTAGTTTTGTTGCTAGGGTAAAAAAACTCAGGGATTTCAAAACACAACAGGTCAGACTTGATTCTACAAACAAACACCAAAAATAGCACGAATCTAAACTCCCGACGCAAACTCTCTTCTGTTTCAATCAATCGACTAAAAATAGATTCTTATCAACATAACTGGAATGTTCTCTTGCATGCATAGATAGTAACATCACACAGTATGTATTGCCCAAAATTGATACCCACTGTTTTAATACAGCGAAACACGCCCGCTGGACTACATACAGTTTAATAATAAATCTCATACAGAGCTGAAGAAATGAGTGCAAGAGAATCCATAAAGTATTCTTTTTAGTGTGGTCTCCATGGTTTTCACATCTATAAAGAAGTGTGGAGCCCCAATCTTAGTGAGGTTTTGAGGTGCTGCCATGAAAGAAAAAATCCTTTTGATCCCTTATGCTATAGCTGCGATGAAGCGACTCCCTGGACGGCTTGCCAACATTACCATTGGTCATTTGCCAAGGGAGACTTCTAGAATAATTCACTTTTTTCTCTTGAAGGGAGGTGTTGTCAGCAAGATTAGTCAGATGAAGTGGAATAAGGGCATGCCTTGAACTGAAATTTGAGCTGTCCTGCTCGTATGTAAACTCCTAGAAGACAGAGAGCTTAAATAAAGGATTTTACAAAGGTCTCTAAATTTCGCATATTTAATTTTCATGGCACCTTTTTTCACAGGACTTTAGTTTCATGAATTTTTTTAAATCGCGAAAATCATGAAAATTAAATCTTGCAAAATAAGTGATAATATGGTAATTCTTTACTCTTTATCTCTTTTTTATGGGAACTAATGAATGGGTTTATAAAAACCTACAATTTGCTCCAGAGCAGAGAGCTTTGCTTGTTTGGAATTCCTTCCATCTAACCGACAGCGGGGAAGGGCTGCTAACACCAAAAAACTTTGACCTTGCTTTTATCCCCAGCAGCCTTACTTCGGCTCTCCAGGCACCCAACAAATACTTAAACATGCCCTTCAAGACCAGAGATCCAGCACAGTATCAGGACTGGATGGGGAATGGACCCTTCATGTATCTGCCATCAGGAAAGAAGTGGGCACCGAGGAAAGAACTTGTGTTGAAGTGGGTAAACAAACTGTGGCAGAGAATCCTGCAGAGCTGGTCATCAAATCATTCTTGTCCTACAGGATTTCAAATGCACTTGATGGCACTGAGAATGATGCAGTTTACGAAGAAAAGACTGAAGGCAGAGAAAGTGAGGATGCAGATGACGAATTAGAGAATGAATTTGACACCCATAGCAAAAGTGAAGATGAGTAGGCAGCAGTCATTAAAATGCCAAAGGTTTTTTTCAGAACCACAATATCTACAAAAGTCAAAGACCAACATTGCATGTCCTTCATATTACCTTAAAATAGAAATAACAAATGCAATCAAAAAACTTTGAAAAGAAAACTTTATTTCCCGAAAATATTCAGCTATAAGACACACTCGAAATTGGCAGTAATTTTGAACAGAAAACATGACTTTCTTAAAGAACACAGGATGCCTTATAAACGAAAAACTACAGCAATAAAACTTCACAGTGCACAGAAACAAAGATATTTAAGCTATTTAATCTCATTTAATTTAAATTTTAATAAAATTCTAAATCAATCACATTGAACAAGTCAATTCAATCAATTTGAGGACAGGTTATAACAGAATACAAGATTCTTTAAAATAAGCTGCCTTGATTATTTACTTAGTTAAAAAATAAGAGCTAAAAATACCCTCAACTATAAGAGAAATAAGATAATTAAGAGAAAAATTGGGAATGAACTTATTATTCCATGCATGATAATCCCAAGTAAAAAAAGAATCCTTAAAAGTTTCTGTATGACCAAAAGGGACATCAAGTGTTAAATAATCAATATTTCTCAAAGGCTTGTTACAGGAGCAAAATGGTACATAGTCAGGAATATCTAAGTCTTGTATATTCTTAACACACTTAAAAAAACCCTACATCATTAATTACCCTACAATATTGTAAAGGTAATAGATTTCATTGACTAACACACTCTCATTCTGTATACCACTTGCCGAGAATGAATCTTGTGGCCCTGGATTGAATTTGTTCTAAGTTGGTAATGTTTCTTTTGGTGTAGGGTGACCATACTACACTAGCATATTCTAAACGTGACCCCATCCAAGTTCTAATGTCAGTAATATCCTTACATGTACATGTCCTATAGAGCAAATTAAGCATCATTTAGGCTTTGGAAAAGATAATACCATTATGGTGATTCCAGCTCAAATCATGGTTGATCAAAATGCCCAGATCTTTTTTAATGGGAATGCATTCCAACCTGCAACTCTGCAATGTGCTGTTGGAAAAACTAACTTATTGTGCTCCCAGATAAAACATGAGTCCAGAATAAGGTAAAGAGGACAGAGCACAAACAGATGTGACCACCATGCATGATAGCACCTCTCATGCATCTTCAGTAATGTAGTGCAGTTCTACTGTTTCAGCAAAACATATTTAGATATGAGAACATAGAACATCCTTCTAGCCCAAAAAAAGTGCTGAACAATTCCCATGAGACATAATTCATAATTATAACAAAAATTTCCACCCAATTGCTTGAGTTGCTCCAGAGATAAATTAGAATTTGTCCAACCCCAAACGGGTTATTACAAACTAAATCTTGTCCAAAATAAGTTATACTTAGTGAATAATTTTTTATTAAAAAAAAAAAAAGCAATATTCACCGGAAATTAAAAAGTGGTAATGCATGATGGTTAATGTAAGAATATTAATATCTGTCCATGTTTATGACCACAAACTTTAAAATTGTATTGTGAACATTTCTTATGTGAAGATCTATTTTACATCAAGTAAGAGCAAATTTGAATTTGAATTGAAAACATCTTTGAATTTGAATTTTTAGCCTACTTTACACATTTGTACCCTATAGATCATCAAATCATTTTCAACTTCAAACGGATCTAGGATTTGAAATCACAGAAAGGAGGAGACTACCTATTCGGGCTATTATAACTCCTTGATCTCCATTTCCAGAAACCATTTGACAAGTAGGAAGAAGTATTATGCAAAGAATCATTTTGTTACTCTAGGTGACAGAGCTAGAAAGACCACGAATAAGAAGGAATTTTGAATAGCGAATAGGATTAGTTTCACCTGATTTATATCACGATTTTTGTATTTATCTAGAATCTCATTTAAACGATATGTGTATTTTACCAGCAACACTAGCTAATTACAATAACAGAATAAGTATCACTGAGATTCACCAGTAGACAAGGACCATTTGCAAGGAAATTTTTCAATCAAACAGGTTTTGTACTTCTTTAATTTTTTTTTCAAAGGATCTCAATCTTTTTTAACAAATAGAAGCACAATAATTCCTTGTATCGAAATTGAGACAAATGGTATCAAGACTACATAGATTTATTTTTCTAATCAGAATGCTTGTTCAGCCTAATGGAGGCCTTAAAAGAAACTGGCTTGCCGTTTTACATACAGCATGCTTTGGGCTGATCTCCTCTTTTGTTTACAACTGTTGTCAAACTCTAACAAGATGATGTTTGGTTTCTGTGTAAGAATTTTGTTCTTTTGATCAAATTGTCTTTATTGTCTCCCTTTACTTTTTCTAATATTCAGCTTAACTCATTTTGTCCTTTTTATTTTAGGTGCATCTGCTCCAACTGTTTGACCAAGTTCACAATTAAAGCAGAAAAATGCCAATGCTGCCAGGAAATCAACCATGGTGGGGAAGTTATGGAGCATGGCAAACAAAAGAAATGCATTACACTTTTTCACAACTTTTAAGATATTTGCCTTTTGCAAGTCTTGAAAGTTGCTGCATTAAGGACTGAGACAAAATCTGGGAAGTCTTACAGAGTAATATTTATTCAAGGATAAAGAACAGAAGTAGAGTAAGTTCAACTCTATGTAAGCAGGCAGGCTTTTGATGTAATGGCATATCTGGTGAGGGAAACTTAAGGATTTATTACTGTGATAATCTTAAACACCATAACTTACAAGAACAATGTATCTGTCGTACCTTTGGTTATCCACACACGTGGAGTTGTGATGTTTCCATGTGCACAGGCATTGAATAATCTGTTTGGTAGATCTTTGTGCTTGTTAAGCACGTGGGAGAGGAAGGCATGAAATGTGACTGATTTCACCTCCTCTAGGTGTTCTTTCGATGATGTGATGGCCCAATAAGTGTCTTACTCGGGCTTTTCTCCACTTGCCAATGATCTCTCATGTTTTCTCTTTGCTTTATGAGTACTTTCTGGATTTCTAGGAATGATTTGACATGAATTAATAATCCACACGCTGTTTTATTTTGTTGTTTTTCCTTTTTTTCCAGGCATGAGACTAAAATAAGGATGTTGTTTTCATGCATAAAAATAAGCACCAAACCTTTAAAACTGATGTAAAATTATGGAGAACCATTTTGGACTACTCTGACCTTATTAACCAAAGATGAAATTGCCAGTGAAAATAAAGCTTACCTCTTCCAATATGCCAATTGTCAAAGGAGTGTTGGACAGCAGGTTTTCATAAGTTTCTGTATTGTCTTGCGCAGTCTTCCCTCATCCACTTTGGGATGAAAGTATGGCAGTCACTTATAATGACTTCATTATCATACTGGTGCCTAACAGGAAAGTAAAGGCCTTCTGAAATGTGAGGAATTCCATGCTGAAACTGCTACCTGCCTGATTAGCCTGAAAGAGTTGAAGGGAAATACCACTGTAGTTAAATTAAGAAGAAGAAAAAAAATATGGGCATTGTTTGCTTTGAACAAAAATTTATCATATTTCATTATGTGTCAAATCTGATATTATTTACTTCTGCATAGAATTCAGAGTGCCATACCTGTACCAGGACAATGTGGACAATTGAACCAATGGTAGAACAAAAATTTGGGAACCTTCCATACTTGGCAGAGTAGCCCATGCTATGCGACCATCACCAGCCAGCACCACTTCTGGGTCTTCTAATTTATCCAACAGTTTTTCTGGTATTTTTGCCAGAATGCCACAATAAATTGAATGAGGAGGTGCCTGCGGGAAATGTAGAAAATGAAGGGTTTAAACACATGATCAATGTGAGCCTAGATATGACTTACCCAGCAGAGTGCATATCTCTGAGAAGGTGATACCTAAACTTTAAGAAGTTAAAGCAGAACGCAAAGGAGACCCTAAAAATGCAGAGTTCCTGGTTTAACAACTGATGGATGGATATCTTTATCAACAGAAGGCTACATAATAGTTAGACAATCAGCCCTTGTTGAAAACAATTTTTACCATACCCCCATCTCTTACCAAAAGGGAAAATCCCTTAAAGACATGCTTGTGAGAGCAAAAATATAATTTCAAAGCAATAATGCAATGCAACCTCAAAAGCCATGTGGGGAGTCAATGCTGGTCTGTCTTTGACTTTTCTTCTCAAATTGAGGGTTTAGGGTTATATGTTGTTTACATTGTGTATCATGCCATAAGAATGAAAAAAAACATTAATATTTTGCCTAAACAGATTGAAATAGTTGAAATCAAAAGTTAATAATCAAAATCCAATCGAATTGCAAGGAATATGAATCGTTACACCATTAGTATAGTGTGCAAGAAACAGGTTCTTAGTAGATTAAAGTCACATACCCTATATCATTTTCACACTTTTAACAGAACAGGTGTTGTGTACCAAAATGGCAGTCTTACCCGTGTTAACCATAGGGAGGCAATTTTGCTCTTGAATTTCCTTTAAGGTTTGAGCCAACTGCTCTTAGTTGGTGGCAAGTTTGTTCTTCAGCCTGGTCACCTTGGCTTTTAGTTCTTTTCTCATGACCTTGCAAGCTCCACATGAAGTAGTTTTTGTTTTTTTCAGTTGTCTAAAAATGGAAAGTATTAGTTTAGATGTACCTAATTCAGGCAACTCTAGATCCTGTGCCTGCTGTGTCATTCAGCCCCTCTACACATCCCCACCCATATGGCCACTTCCTCTACCAGCACCCCCTCATCTGCAACTTCCATTACCTCTGCCAGAACCACCTCAACCACCTGCATCACCTTTTCTGCCTGAAACCCCTCAACCACCTGCATCACCTCTTCTCCCTGAGCTGTCTCAGACACCTGCATCAACTTCTATGCCTGTGCCCCATCCACATGCAACTGAGCCAACTCAGCGGCCTGCATCCTAATGCTTTCCTGCAGCTCATCATCTGCCCATGCAGCCTGATTTTCCTCTAGCTAAGTAGCTACTGGCTCCATATTTGTATCCTGGCTCTGTTCTGTTATCATCCCATGTATTACCGGTATCTGTCGGGCAAAAGTTTTTGAAGCAATATCAAATGATTATAACCTTCAACAGAAATTAGACAGTAAGTATTTAATTATTTGCAAAAGAGCACAAGCTCATTAAGGCTCATTCATACCTTTTCCTTGAAAACATATATTGCTTACACCAACTCAAATAAAAACATCCTGTACACATTTATTTATATGTAAGGTCTCTGGCCGCCTTCTATTAATTGAAAAGTAATTCGCGTCTCAAAACAAACAACAATTATAAACTTTGATTAACTTGTTACAACAATAACCAATTCCGCAACTAAAGTAATTTGTCCAAGAAGTTTACATGGACACAAGAAAAAATATCAATTTATGTGGTTATTTTTTGATCATACACTAATGCAGAGTCTCACATTTATGTACAAAAGTTAATTAAGAATGACACAAAAGTTTACATGCTAAGCAACAAAGGCCACAAGGTTCCAACAAAAAAATTACCACCATTCACATCAAACAATACCCATTGAAATAGGGAAATTATCACAAGTCTGTCAAGTATGGCTTTTCTTTGAGGATTTATTACCGATATTTTTGGCAACATTCTGAAAGACTCAGACCCTGTATTCTACCAGGCAGAAGAGGACATTCATTTCAAATTTCACATTTATCTTATACTCTTATACTTATACTTTTTCCAAGTTCAAAGTTAGGAGTATGAAGGAAAAGATTACTCTGGTTTTAGTTATTCATTTCCTAAAAAGAAAAAAAGTTCAGATAACAGTCATTGAATGGATTGGAGTTCATGATGCTATTTTCAGTACTTAAAGAGGTAAGCAAGATATCATGATTCATAGATAGCATGCTGCCATGTGAACCATCTGAGTAGAAGTCACAAGGTACTTTAATCATTCCAAGGTAATATCATAATGATACAAAGAAAATCACTTTAGAATGACCATTTTTGCCAGTGACATATATTTTGCAACCTATCAAAGCATTTTAAATTCTATGTATGTGTGTAAAATTCATATGACTAGGAATCTTTTGTCTAGAGATGTGGGATCATGTTGTATTATTGTAGATTGAGAGATCCTTAGAATTCATCAAAGATATACTTTTGAATCAGAGGAAACAACACCTCCTTCAATGTGAAAAGAACATCATCATGGGAACTTTCCACTAGGGAGAGTAGACCTCCAACTTGTAACAAGGATTTTTTTGGTAAAAATAACTTTTTGTTGTTGTAGTTGAATTATGACTGACTAATCTATATGAAGAGATGGGTGTGAGAACCCATTTAAATTTAACATTCCCTTATGCACTATTGACTGACATCGCAGACAAAACCAAAAGACAAAAATGGGGTCCATTCCCCTAAACAGGGTATATTCCACTCTTGATTGCTGGAAGTAAAGCCATCATGACAGGTGCTGCGTGGAGTGAAATTATGACAACCATAAAAGGGAAAAAAACTAAAGAGGTAATCACTGTAGCCAAATTCATTCTCTTGCGCACATCAAGATCAAACATAAAGAGAAAACTAACCCATTGATGTAACAAAACTAAACCAAAGATTAAAAGGGGTTCTTATACCATTAGCTGCACTTATTCCAGCTCTCATAGCCAGTGGAGAAGCCATCACAGCCGGAGCCGTGCCAAGAGCCACCTGGGTTGACAATTCTGTTGCACCACAAGTTGAATCTGATGGAAACCTGATGGAAACCATTGAAAGTTACTCCATACTGGTACCTCTAAAGCTCCTGGATCCATATTGATGGGAAGAAACGTTAATTCCGCGTCTTCTATAGCCTTAACAAATAAATTTTTCGCTACTTTCCTTGTAGCTCTCTACCAAATGTTCACGACGGCGCTTTTGGAAATTGTAACCAGGCCTTTTTCTCCAGCCACGCCGAAGCCAACCTTGTTCCCAGGGTCCTCTCCCTTTCTCTCTGGTTCCTTGAAGAAAGTCTACCTAGATCGCCTTTTAGCGCTCGATGTTGGTGATACATGATCGCAGGTCATGAATAGCTCTTATTACTGAGCTAGAATGAAAATACCCGAGTGAAAAGAATGAAAATACCCGAGTGAAACAACGTCAAATTACACATAAAAAGTTAAAAAATGTACAATATAGTGTAAAAACAGGTAAGGCAAAAAGATCTGCCAGTTTTATCGATCTAGCACTTGAAACGCATGTCAAAGTGTTTGATATAGTTTTGGTATTCATTCGTTACAGAGTGCATTTCTCTTTAATGGAAAAACGAAGAAGTCGTTTTCGATGTGGATTTTTCTCCGGAGAGGAATGAGCTTACTGGTTATGGAAAGTAAACCGAGTTTCATTGTCCATGTTATTGTCGAAATGGTGAAATTTTCTACGAAATAGATATTAGACAAAATCCTAACAAGTTGCTCCTTAATTAGACATACATCTTTCTAAAATAGTCTATAAAAATCAACGTTTCCTTCATCAAATTCTGCGTTCGCTATCTGACGCGATTTGAGAAACATAATAGCCTTTTACCCTACAGCATTTTAAAAGGAAAAAAAATTCGAAGTGTGTCGAACAAGCGATCCTCACCTTCCGAATAACTCTGGAATGTGAACTTTATTGGTAACCGACACGGTTTGTGAGGTCTTACTTCACTTATACACCTGTTAACAGACATTTATTGACTGTAAGCCAGTAAGTTTTAAAAAGGTTGAAGTCTTTTTTTTTAATTAAATGGTCGAGTCTGTAGTCGAATTATTTAGCAAATTTGAAAACAAGTTTTGCACAGTAAGGTTACTCTTTGGAAATTCAAAACGCAGTACGCAGTAAATTGTTAAAGAGATTTTTAAATGATGGAGCCAAATTGACATAGATACTTCAGATGCAGGTGCGATAAAACATCGTAAACTTTTATTTACTTAAGCTTGGTTTTGAACAGACTTCAGTAGACTCGTTTGCCACTTACAAGGTACAAAATTATGCTTTCAAAACTTACAGAAAAAAAACGATTAGCAGATCAAAGTATCGTAAATGACAAAAAAAAACAATTAATACGAAAAAATTATAACTTACGTCTGTTTCCTTGCGTAAAATTCGAGGATAAACTTGCCCTTCTGCTCTCTTCGACAAACTAATTTCAACGTAACGGTTTCTTCTGCAGATTAGCATTTAAAACAGTGCGTGTAACCCCTTGCGGCACAATGACATTTGCACGTGAAATTCGTTCTTGGCATTTACGTTAATCATGTAACTTATTTGTAGGTACAGTGGCGTACTTTTACATGAGAGGAAACTATTTTTCACCTTACAGGTAGAGTACAAAACATCTTCAAACAACCTGCCTAATGCTTCTAAGCAGGCAGGTTTACAATCACATCCTACATGCAATGTCCTCAGTTTTTTATTTATTTTTGATCAGATTTATTAACCTAATCGAGGATAGAAAACTGAGCAAGTTAACAAGAACTATCATCATGGGTCTTGTGCAACCGGCTCACTATTCACTGTAATCAGTAATGGTCTGTACAGCCAACCGTTGTGATTTCGCTTGTTATCGTCGATGAAATCAATCTATAAATCAAGTTGGCCCGGCCAACAAGCAACCTTTTTTAAGCCATGATTGTCCCGGTTCTCGATATACAAACGTTTTACATCGTAACAAAAATTGATAATCATGGTGATATTTAACTGGTGAGATTCACAACACAGTCTAAGAAAATGAAATACAGCTCTTTAGACATCATATAAATTACAACAACCGGAGACTTCCTGTATCAAAAGTGCTAGGAAAAATATAATTACTTGC